AAAGCTTTTTCACGTTAACACAAAATTTATCTCGAAAATTAAAGCGTAGACACACAAATGCATTTGCCTCAGCAGAATAGCAACGAAGGTCAGGAGCCCTTTTCAAGCGAGGGTCACGTACGTCTGCTTCCGCTGGGGGCGTCACGTATATCGGACAAAGGGCGAAAACAGAACCTGCTTTTCAGTTTTGTTCATTTGTTTGATTTTACAGGAAGGTGCTACAGAGATAGATTATGCCCTCTAGAAAAAATCGGTGGTGGTTCGCGAATGAATAGTTCACTCTGCAGCCCCAGTTTTCTACAGTATCGCTCTGTCTTATTAATGCTTCAGATCACGGCAAAAAGATACGAAGTACAACACTCTGTCGTCAGTCTAAAGAGGAACGTAACAAATGGTAAGGCATTCTGGGAAACCAGCATCAAATTACAAACTAACGTGCCTATAACTCCGTCTACAAAAAGTCGCGCCATTCCCAAACTCCAATCTAAAATAATCCGCGCAGATACCAAATAAGCGCTTTGATTTCAATCACGCTCTTCAAATCACCCAGAGTTTGGCCGGCATTTTATCCTTCGCATTTGATTGACAGTGTTAAGCAATACAGAAGCTAATTGTTCAGATCTGCACGTAGACTCCGATGAAGGATGGCTTTCGAGTTTGTGTTCAAACAGAAAAGCGTCCTTTCCTGTCACCTGAATCGAGAAATCAAGCTCTCCATTATATCATAAACGATCATTCCAAAACACGTGTTTTGTCTTTGAGTAAGCACCTGAACAACACTTCTAATCGCAGGCAGCCAACGAGAGGCGGGGCATTGTCATTTATGTTCACGCTACTTGCTTCGTGATTGGATGTTTGCCGTTTTTCTTGGCTAAGGCCGCAATCCTAGTGGCCGCGAAGCGATAATGAGACGCTCCACACTCGCCGCACCCTAGGTTTCCTAAGCTGCCGCTCGGAGCTTCTCTCCAGCACGAAGCATCTAACCTGGCAATTCTACTTATAGATCTGACGTAAATCATCCCATGTCTTTTCTTATTATTATTATTATTATTGGCATATGTTCTTTGGTATTTTTGTTTTCTTTCAAAGATTGGTGTATTTCGGTGGTTTGCTTTTGAAAGGACGCTAAAAACGGTGATTATCGGTGAAAATATGTTGTGAAAAATTATGAGTTCAAGTTTAGGAGGAAGAGAGTTTCGATGAAAGCGCAGCCTTGTAGCTGGAACACAAATTTCCAAAAATCAATTGGGGGGGGGGGGGGGGGGGGGTTAACTTGTTTTGTGTTTTGGGGGGGGGGGGAGGTTCGGTTTTAACTTGTTTTGTGTTTTCAAGACCAGCAGATGTTATTGCATTAGCGTTCTTTTTATCTTTTTTTTCGATTTTGTATTTTTGTCTTTAACGGATGTTTATCGGTGTTCGTTTTGTTTTTTGCTTTTTTTGTCGGTTTTCTTTTTTGCTGAATCTGGAATATCTACGGCCTAATTATAGTCTCCTACTAGGTTCGAGAGGAATGAATTCGCAAGCGCTTAAAAACCGTCGGGCACGTTCGGCCTCAACCTTTTCACAGAACGTGCGGCAAGGCAGACGCAGCCTTCGGGGTGCATCAAGCGCGGTTTGTTAAACTAGGTCACAAGAACTATTGGATTACCCCGTAAACAACATGCACCTCTGACGTCATGCAGCAGCGGTGGCGCTGTTTCCCCAACGGTGCACGTACCCGTGCGCCTCATAAGTCTCTCACAGCGGGCTTCTGAGCACGCCCAGTGCGCACTGGCAGTTCGGGAAACCCGGGGAGTGTGACGAATCTCTTTTGCGGCGTATGAAACTGCTGAATACGTCCGTCGAATAACCAATCGCGAAGCAAGAAGCGTGAATGTGTTAAGTCACTCCCTGCGTTTCTTGAACTGCCGGTGACTATCGTGCGGACAAACGCGCGCATGTTTCTAAAGAGACGTTTCGTCTAAACATCGAGTAAAATGCTACAACTATATGGTCAGATACGAGTTGAATGCCCCAAGTTAGCACACCGCCACGTATACCAGCCACGGTATCGAGTCGCTGCACGTGGAGCAATCAGAGGCAGTAGACACGCACGAGTTAGGTGACGTCATTGCGACGTGCGCGTCGGTAGCCGACTATTTGCGCAAGATTTGCTAGCGGATATGAGAGGTTTGGGAGGAGCTTCTGACGCATTCTTAACAAAAACTTCGGGTTCGTATTTTATGCCCTTCACGCGAGTATACCGAAGCAAGTGTGACGCGAGTATATTCACAGGCTAAGCGAATAAGCTAAAGACTTCTTTGTTATGGTACAATAGACCTTGTTTTAAAGTGTGAAGCGTCGTCCGAAGGGCGAAAGGAATGTCGGGAACCGCCTGTACAGACCCGGTTATAGTACTTTGTAGTTTACGTAAAATACGCAGGCGAGTTGACGCGGGCAGTCGAGCAGCTGCGCTATCTTCTCTCTCTCTCTCACTCACTCGTTTCAGTGTCACGTACTAGATCCTGCGTTAACAAAGACGGCAGTACAGGAAGATCCCATAATTCACTGCGCGCTTCGTGCGCGGTTCTTCTGGGATTTTCGCAAACTATATAGAAGTATTTCAAGGATACAACACGATTTCTTCCAGTCCCTCATTCTCAGAGCTTGTTGACCTAGTTGTGGGGACAGTACTCAGAGTGACGACAGTCAAATGCGACTCATGGATTGGACACGAGCACTGCCCTAAGCCCGCTTCAGACGGGGCAATTTTTCCCAGCAACTTGACGTCGCAGCACCAGCAACACGAGCCGCCCGCTTTCACACGCAGCAACCGAATTGCTTCGACTTGCCACCATCAACGTTACTTTTTTTTGCACTATTTATACACACAGTTACACGTGATAAACGTGTTTTTATACTTTTAAATGGCGTTGAGAATACGAACACATGTTTTTAAACGGTTTACTTACAAAAAAAAAACACCAATTTCAAACCAGAAGCAAGTATTTAGTTGTCATCATCACCGGCACAGGGTATCACATGAAAATATGGCGTCCCTGGTTGGCCTGTTGCCGCTTCAAACGTCTTCAAATCTCTGTGAGTTTCTCGTTTGCCTGGAGCCGGGCCCGATCTCAGCAATTCATGTCAATCTAGGGAAAGCTAGAGAACAACCCGCCAACAACCCCAAAATTGCTGAGAAAGTTGCTCCGTCTGAAGCGGGCCTTATAGCACTTTGTTTCATTTGCACTCACTGGTTTAAGGAGCCTACAAAATGGTGCTCCTGTTGAATCGCTTGGGCGATGACAATAGCCGAACTCTTAAACCTTTTCCGAAATACACGTACCCTGTGCATTGCCACCCCGAACGCGGGGCTATGCCGATCTTTGGCGGCCTATAAACAATTGCAAACATGGCGCCTCACTGGCACCCCATGCCTACAAGCGCGTGCAGCGTGCGCGTGCTTGAAGGCATGGGGCACCAGTGAGGCGCCATGCTTGTAGGACTACGAGTTAAGGTAATAAATACTACTTCTTTCCTTTCTTTTTTTTCTGATATAGTGACGAGAAGAAAAAACAGTACTTAACGAAAGTAAGAAGACCGTTTCATGACCCGTTTAAGCTAACGGCCACTAGCCGGGCAGCCATTACCGCCAACGTGCATGACATTACAAGCCTGAATGCCCGGCTGTAATTCAGGACCCCAGTTACTGTGACGTTATTTATAGTTCGTTGAAGGTTTAGAATGGCGGGACAAGCTCCTCCCACAAAACACTCCACTCTTTCCACTCCAGCAAAGCGAACGCTGGAGAGGAGGTGGAGGGAGAGTAGGAAAGCACGGGAATGCCGGAGAGCACCAATCATGGCGATCAGAAAGCTTTGCGGGAGGGGCATGTCCTGCTGTTCTAAACCTGCAACAAACTAGGAGCTTAACAGAAGAAAGCCATTCTGTCTCGAAATAGCCGCATATATCTCCGCTGGAAAGAAGTAGGTTATTTGGCAGGTGCAGTGCGAGGGCTGACTAGGAATATTTAACGTGCATCACGTAGTACCCTAGAGATCTTATACGTTGGCCCTCGTTCTCAGCCACGTATAGTTAACACACCCGGTATCCGGTGCGAAAAAAAAAAAAAGGGAAACCATTACATCCTGGAACGAGTACGAAAATATAGAAGAGGCAAAAGAAGAATGACTAACTGTTACGGTGCAAACGTGAACACATTCAAGTGGCGTTGCCAGAGCAGATGGAACTTTTATTTTCTACCAGAAGAAATGACGACGGCCCCGTAGAAAGGGTGTATGATAATATCAGAACGGGAACAATTGGACTTTCTGGTTTTAACGTAAAATAGCGTTATGAGCCTCCTTGAAAGTGTAACGTACGCAGGTACGTTCATTTTCTAAATAATTAGCGAGACTTAACGTCACGTCTCCACGTGAACTATCGTGACACAGACCACGTGACCTATAGTGACACTAACCACACCACGATCGTACGCATCCTGCTTCGACGATTTTGTTATGTATCACCAAAAGGCTGCGCTACGCTTGTGTTATGACCACTTTCGGGAACAGAATGAAGGCCAAACAAAAGGTCACTGACAGCCTAAAAAACGCAGGGCGCGGTTTTTATGTTCATGCTTTGTGACTCCTTCTTCGGTATCGACTAATGCTGAAATCCGATTTGTTGTGGAGCAGTAATAGGCTCGGGATTCTTCCCTTTTTTCTTTTGCTGACAATAACTATAATCTGCTGAAAAAGAAGGGGCAAATTTAAGAATATTCCTCGCCTAACACTCACTCTTACTCTTTCTTAGTCTCTCTCCCCCTCTGCAACAGTGAAAACAATACCGTGGTGTGAGCTGGCTTAGCTTTTCCATGTGATGTATCACAAACATGACGGGGAGCTGCACAAACATACGGGTGTCTCTGCGCCAAGACCTTTTCTACGAGGTTGCGGTGTGCTTTTCCAGCGTATCGCGGAACGTTGATGGTGCCGGCTCTTGTCCTTGACTGTCACCAGGCGGCGACGGGGGCTCCGACTCATCGAAGGCCGAGAGCGACGAGGACAAGTTCAAGAAGTGGCTGCTGGACGAGTACTACCGCACGATGGCGCTGTCGTTCGCCAGCATGCGCAAGAAGCGCATGGCCATCCACCAGGACACCCTGGACCTGCGCAAGATGAAGAGGGACGAGCAGCAAGCCGACGACCAGTTCCAGGTGGCGTCAGCTTTCCGTTCTCGTTCTTTTTTGTGCGGAACAAGGACCTCTTCGTGTACGACTGCTCGGGGCTAAAGTCCCTCTATAGAACAATGCGCACTGCGTTCACAAACAGGTCCGCGTTGGCCCACACCAGGCGGGGGCACTGCGCATGCGCAGGAAACAGATTCGCGTGAGGTGAAACGTATATGCGCATGCGCCGTGCTGACAACAGCACCACCGCAGCGGCATGACTTCAGAGTCGCATGTTTCTATATGCGAAGAAGTAACGACATTCTCTGAAGAGCGCCGCTTGCTACCCTGGGGTGATCATGGCTGGGTGGGTGCGGGCAACCAAAAAATTGAGATAAAATAGTGTGCGTGACGGAGGAGGAGGGATGGTGTATACCTATGCTAAATACTTCACTAGGAGAATACAGCTTACTCCGTTTATTTGCGTTAGACAGCGCTCCTACAGCACCAAGCCCTGCCCTATCGGCTTGGACAGATCATGTCCGAGAGAACGCATCCCCATCGCGCTGTCCAGGTTGTTGCACTTTATCGCTGCGCTGAGGGAGAGGACTGCCGCCGACGCCCCGAGGTACAGAATTCGCTAAGACAGTAAAAAAGGATGTTTCCGCTGTCTTGAAGGCCTTCCATAATGATGTATGGCGGCAGACACCCTCCCAAATTCAGTTGGGAAAAACCTGAGGCTGCGCGCGTCAACAGCTCTAACTACGCCAAAGCTGTTGGCTCTAAAGCCGTTGGATGTACGCGGAGTAAGGAGATGTATTGCCATGTAAAATATTTTATAAAATAGTGTGCGGAGGCAGAGGGAGAGAAAATACCTATATGCCTTTATGCGGCAGCAGAAGCTACGAGCCGATGGTCTCAATCAAGAAGCGCCAGAAGGAAAACGTCACGGCTCTCGACATCTTTTTTTTTGGGTGTGTTCTTCGCGTCCAATTCCATCATATTCAGAAAGTGCGCCGTAACTTTATTTTGTCTCAAACTTTTTTCTTTTCACGAACGTGCGAATTGCCCATCTTCCTGGACGTGACATTCGATAGAAATGACAAAGAAAGACGCAGCGAAGCTGGTGAACTCTCAACATTGTAGAAGTTCGAGTCCGGATTTTCGCGATGTCGATATTCCAGCCTGAGCGGTGCATGGCGTGGCCAAACCCCGCTTCGGCGGTGCAATCATTTTACCGCTATCAGTCTGTTTCCTTCGAAACACTGGGGTTAATACCAAGTTCTCGTATCTTTCTTTCACGGCACGCCAACCTCGCATTCTGGTCGTTTTCATTTCCTGCCCGCAATTTTTCCCGATCCCTCGAATCCCGGCTCTCACATTCCGCGGATCGAATATCCTCGTTAATAAAACACAAGTACCTCGAAAACCAGAACAAAGGTAGAGAAATAGACGCAGAAGCGGAAGCTTCTATAGTGGTCGTCATGGTCTTTTCCGCTGTCTGTGTTTTATTTGGTTTATCCGACTATACTCATCCGATTATTCGGGTATCGAATTCCCCATTTTTATTAGAGAGGAGATTAGACTACAGGGGGCGCTCTGTTCAGCTTTGTGTGAGAACCGCTTATACTGTGAGGGTACGGTGTTCTTTCGAAGATACCGGGAGTCTAGCAACCACGATAGGGAGTTCGGCAACCGGGAAGTGGTATGTTCTCTCAACAATTTTAGGTTGTTGACGCATTATAAGCCGTGACTCTCCTGGGCACCTTATTATCACTCCGAAATCAACTACTGCTGCTTGGCTGATAAGAAAGCCGAACAACAAATCGAAAAGAAGCGTGCCACAAGCTCTGCCCGTCGGCAAGACTATTTCAACATAAACGGCTCTGCTGTCTGTGGGTACAGCTTGTCTTTTCTTCTCGATAAAAGTAATCATTTTAAGAAGAATTACTAAACGTCGCTTCCGATTGTGTGGGCCCCAGCGCGTCGCCCCAAGCAGTTATTCGTAAGTAAACAAGTAATGTGCGTTTCGTTGTATCTACAGCCGAAGAGAACCCGCCCAGGGGCAGGACTGTCCAATCTCTTCTAGAGTGCCTTCATTGTCTATCGCACATACCCGCCTACACAAACAACACCTCAATATCTTTCTGCAATCTTTCACCGCAATCTGACACTCAATCCTTGTCTCACGCTCGCGCTGCCAAACCCTGCGTGCCAAAAGCAAAATATCCTTTACTCTTTCGCTACAATTTTCGATCGAGATCGAGATGTGAACCTGCCGGCGCCTGTACACTTTACCCGCGCACGAGCACTTCGCCTTCTACGGTTATCTTCCAACCTGTCAACCCGGATTTTCTCCCGATCCTTTATTCCAGGAACGCGTTTTTGATGTTTGCGGGAATCTTTTTACGGCTTGACACCAATGTGGAAGTTTTCTGCCTCCGGCGTTACGACGTGCGCCTGAATCTTTGTTGGGCTTTGAGTCGCCGCGAGCGAGGCGCCGTGAAGCTCTTGCGTTGTTTCCGTTTGGTTTCCGGAGGACCCTTACGTAGATGACTTTGCCAGCTCCCTCGCCTCCTCCATCGCCATTATTCTTAAGCCTCTCCACGTGACCGACATTTTTTTTGTTCGGGTGCCTCGGGAATTGTTCTATTTACAATACGTCGCCGAGAGCTTTTCTGGTCGGTCTTCCGGTTTTCGTTGTAAGAAACTCTAAGAACAAAAAAAAAGCAACAAAAACAACAAAAAAAAAAAAGAGACGGAGGTGAATAATTTAACAAAAAAGGTTCCCTGGACGGAACGTGTCAAGAAAATTCTTGAAGCGTGCGGCGGGGAGCATTAGGCGAGGCCCGGAACAGTGAGAAGAATAATGGTCAGTGATAGGACGCTTGCAATTTTGACTCTGAGACCTTGCTCGGCTGGTTGCAGATCATTGAACCGCGAAAAATATATTGCAGTTATTTAATGGACGTGGCGCGTTGCTTATATGTCGGTGTTTTGTTTTGACTAGCGGACAATTTAGAAATTTTGCGGTCCCATAGACTTTCGTAGGGTCTGTCAAAGTCCCGCGCGTTCACTCTCACAGAATACAGAGACAAATGTTTCATTTCATTTCATTTAATATACCCTTATAGCGCCCGGTAGGGGCTTTACAATTGCAAAGGCAATTGGGGAACTAAATCTAATGGACTCTTTTACTGTTACGATGTCGTCGGGGAGGGAATTCCAGTCCGATAAAGATAACTATCACGGAGAAAATTTGAAGGTGTTAGTTCTAGGAGTGGTGATACATCATAAAAAGAGAGTGAGCAAAACATTATCTCATTTAATGAGATAAGTTTTCTTCCGACACATATAGGAGTGCAAGTTGTTTCCATAGGCTTTTGGCATCTGGCCAGCTCTGCTGCCATATACAATGCCATATTTCCTAAACCCCGCCTTATCATTTTTTCCTACCTCTTAGTTTTGTTCTGTTGTTACTCGTTCCCGCGGAATAAATCGTCCCGTGTCAAATAATTCACGCGACGTTTTGCGGTGTAACGAGCCTAGTTAATTTCGCTGAAGCCGCTGAAGAAGTTAGACATTGCCAGGAAGACGTGGAATCAACAATTCCAACACGAAAATGAGCACGGGGACTCATACCGACACCAACAACATCGCCTTCCAATTGTTTTTTCATAAGCGACGGCGAGCTTGTTGCCCCCATTCCATCGCGTATGCACGGTGCCGGTGGCGTCTGCTAGGGGCGCTCCGGTTTATTTGCAATCATGAGTTGGTCTATACGCAGCCTTTGCGTTCTGTCGCAGGCGGTGGAAGAGAAGCTGCGTGGCATCGAGGACGCCATGATCGGCGAAGCCCTTGAACTGGTGCGCGACGGCGCCGGCGACGAGTCCGACCTGCGAGCCATCAACGCCGGCGTAGCGTCTCGGCTGGACGCCGCCTACGACCTGGAGAGCGTGCGACAGTCCCTGGGCCACCTGGAGGCCACGCTGGACACCATGCGACGCAGGGAAGACGGCGATGACGCCGGACAGCCGGAGGACGTGGACGACGGACCACAGGGATCCTGGGCGCAGCTCGTGGACAAAGGTGAAGACCATTCCGAAAGTCGCTTCCTCCACGCTGCCACTTTTGTTCATCTAAGGATGGACAAGGCTCACTGTAAAGCGGCAGACGCGTCCATCTAGGCGTCATGTTGCCATCGTTCTGTGACGCTGCAAGATGCGCTGGCGGCGACACTGGCGGAGTCGCCCACTGCCTCGTAACTCACCTTTTTTTTTTTTGCCTGTTCTTAACTTTACCGCCATGCATTCATCCCTTTCTTCTGCTTCACATGTCGGCCGTCAGGCCGCGTCACTTTTTGCCGCAGTTTTGGATATAGGTTGTGGCGACGGTAGGTGACCGCTTCTCTCCTTGGCGTCTTTCCCGCTTGGTGGCGTCACCTCCCTATTGCAAATAGCCGTCGGCCTGCATCTATTCGCTTTAAGAGTCCTAAAAACTCAACGTTACGATAATGCACTGTTCGTTTTCGTAATAAAAACGTGAACAATATTGCAACACCTAACTGTATCTGTGAATGTTTAGAATAAAAAATAAGAAAGTCTTACGCGATTTGTGATCACATTTTATTATGTAGACAGGCTACACCTGATCATTATGTTTGATCCTTGTAGGGCGCTTAGGGCACGCTAATTGAGATATCACCCATAAGAGGACAAACTCAAAAAAACCTTTTTAATGCCGCAAAGGCTCCCGTCATTTCATTTCACTTCGTAAATGTTGTTTCTTGCAGTCATAGCTATTTTACTATTTCCGCCCAATTCAGACATCTGTGCTTGCCATTTTGTTATGTTATTCATGTATTGTAAAACGCGTTTCGTTCCAGAGGCTCACTCATTGATCCCACCTAAGAAACGCCAGGAGGAAGAAGTTTTAACAGAACCAGGTAAAGTTGGAAGTTCCTTTTTGTATGTAGCAGTATTTCCGGGCCAAGAGGGCTGAGGTTTTTGGAAGGTAGGAACGCAGAGTCCCTGTCTATATGATTTAATTAAAGTTTCATCAAGGTCGACTTGCCTAAATTAGGGACAACGCAGTTACATATTTCTGTATCGTAGAATTCTGGAGTTGACTGAGCGATTTATTTAAGTTATGTGTACAAAAATGTGTTTGTTTGCCATGTTTTGTGAAACATTGCTAATTTTTCAAATCCAGATGTTTTGGCACCTGATTAATCTAGTCCTAATCAATGTTTGGTCCGAATATTCGAAGATTGTTGTCCCTCAGCAGGGCCTTTTTTTTTCTTCTTCATGTGAATCCTATTATATATATATATATATATATATATATATATATATATATATATATATATATATATATATATAATAGGATTCACATTATATATATATATATATATATATATATATATATATATATATATATATATATATATATATATATATATATATATATATATATATATATATATAGACGTTTCGGCCTGAGCCAGACCTGGCTCAGGCCGAAACGTCGACCAACTTTACCAATAATATGTTTTAAAAACTCCAACAACCGTCTCAGGTGCGTTTTCTTCCATATATACTTTTCGTCATCCTGCGCTTCGTTTTTTTTTTTTTTTCTCTCTCTCTCTCTCTCTCTCTCTATCTATATATATATATATACACGGCACAAATTGCACTTGAGACGGTTGTTGGAGTTTTTAAAAGATATTATTCGTAAAGTTCGTCGACGTTTCGGACAGACCTTTTTTGAGACCGGTTACATTTGACGAAGTATTGACACACCTTGGTTACATGACCTTGCGTGTCAATATTTCCCATCAACGTTCCAAGGTGCGTCAGTATTTTGTCAAATGTAACCAGTCTCGAAAAAGGTCTGTCTCAGGCCGAAACGCAGACGAACTTTACGAATAATGTGTTTTAAAGACTCCAACAACCGTCTCAAGTGCGTTTTCTGCTGTATATACTTTTCGTCATCCTGGGCTACGTTCTCTCTCTCTCTCTCTATATATATATATATCTATATATATATATATATAGAAAGAGAGAGAGAGAGAGAACGTAGCCCAGGATGACGAAAAGTATATACAGCAGAAAACGCCCTTCGGCCTCCCGGCACCATGCCCGTTATATGGGTGATTACATCTCAACTCAGGCACGGATTTAGGGTCGAATTTTTAATTTTGACGAAAAAAATATATGTTTTGGGGAAATTCCTATAATAAAAGAAGACGCAAACGGTTATTTCGTCGGATTTTTTGTTCTCAAGTTATGGACCGTTGAAGCGGTCAAGGTGGAAATTGATGTTTTTCCAGCCTATCGGAGGTGCCATATTTCACTCCATCCCTTTTCCCTACTCTTTACGCTACATCAATATAACTTTTTGGGAACACTCTAGACATAGGCTTTTTCATGCTAATTAAGCGTCTAGGTCATAACATTCTTAATGATTTTTTTTTTTATTTGTCAAACCGCCTCTCTGTGACGATATTTGACGACGTTCAGCAAGCTGTGCTGTGTGACCTAATCAACATATTTTCATGATCTTTATATCACCGTAAAGCACCAATTATGTTCTTTCTTTTGAATATAATTTCAATATTTTGCCGCAAGTATATAATGCGCTACATGTGCCTGAAAAACGAATATTTCGAAACACTAGCAAGTTTGAAGTCGATTTTCTAAAAAACCCCGCTTTTTATTTTTGTCATTTTTTATTCACAGTTAGTTAATATAATAGTCTATCAGGAACTACCAACAGAAATTGTAATATATTGTTTGTATGGCCGCTATTAAGCCTCGAATCTCGTGCTATGAGCGTTTTGAACGGGACTTCGCACAGGCGCTTTGCTGAGCAGAATTTTGGCCAATGTAAAATTTTCTATTTAATTTTAGTGCTTACCACAATATCTGAGCGTAAAAGCAAGTGAAGTAACAATATTTATCCTTGCAGTATTTATTTGCTTGGCACTGGGGTGATTTGAAAGGTGTGTGAGCTTCGCCTTATGTATTGACGGAGAAGTACGTAACATCTAAACTCACGGACAAACTAAGTTACGAGCGAAAAGTCTAAGTAACCTGGCATGAATCACTGCAAATAGAAATGAAACCTAAACACATGACTAACGCGTTTGAAGCCTTACACGCCACGAAATGCTCGTCCTTACACGCCACGAAATGCTCGTTATTTTACGTTTTGTGCACAAAATAGACCGTACTTCCTAAGCGCCAGATACTAAATCGCACATATGTATATGCACTGCATATCTGTTTGACATAAGAAAATATGACAATTACGTATAAAGTTCGGAATTTTAAACTCAAGATGCGACACGTAACCAGAGAAGGGAAGTAATATTTCATGTTTTAGCCTAAACATGTTCATTTCATAAAATATATCAAAAAGTGTTGACCAAATGTCTCATATACTCCTAATTAACATAAAATACACTCAAAGTTAATACAAATATAAACTTTAAAACGAACTGAACACCGCCAAATTCCGTCTGGTTTACGGATAGACGACGCAGTATACTTTTCAATACTACACGGCGCTGCTCACACAAAAACAGTGATAAATACCTGGGATAGGGATAGTCATCTTTCGACGTAACACATTTCGAGACAATAAGTTGATGCGATTCTGAGCCAGTTTTCGCTTTGTCCAAATTGCAGTCAGTTCAGTGTCAAAGTCTATGGCGCGTCGTCTGATCGTACAGAGCGCACTCACAGGGGGACAAGGATGAACGCACTGTTGAAACGGTCCGGCCTTTTCACGGTCCCACCATTTAGCTCTGTCTATTCTGGGGTTTGGTAAACTCTTTCTAGGACCACATCACCTCCCCCTTCCCCCATTGCTTTGCTCCACACATGAGAAGATTGGATGCCTTTCGATGGGGTTACCTTCTCCCACCCCTTCCTTTTAAGCTCCCGATGACGGGACAGCTCCTCTTGGTCGATGAAGAGAAGCGTTATCCCCTTGATTTTCTGGCCGAGAGCTTCAACGAACGTACGCGCGTTAGTTATGGAGCTCAGCTCAGTTGTTCTCAAGTTATGCAGTGACGCATGATGCTTCAGCACACCACCCACTCCATCGCACGCGATTTTGCCGTGCCCTGACGCCGAGTATATCCACCTGCTGACAACAAACTTCTTCTGAAATTCGTGTAATTGGTGCCGATTTTTTAAATGGCTTGGAGCGCCGTCCGAAACATAGATTAACTCCAAAAAAAAACGGGCAAGAGTTCCTCGAGCCTGTCTTCAATCATTGTGAGCGCAAAGAGCGCGTGTGCAGAATCATGACAGGTATCGTCACTCACGACGCCGAAACATAGTGTTCCCTTCGTGGTCGTCGGAACGCAGGTGAAGATTGTCACCATCTTGGTTTTCCAGTGGTATCCAGCTGCACTGCACGTTGGAGCACAATACTCCAGTTTTCGGCGAAATCAAAGTGGAGGATTACGACACGTGGCTTCACATTTGCTTTTTCAAGCCATATTGCTCTCTGTTGTGCGCACCGAATATAATAGTGGGGTATGTATTTCTTCGTCCACTTGTTGAGTTCGTTAAGAAAAGCAGTGGCCTCCAAATGTTTTTTCACCAACTCGCCACCAGATTCCCACAGTGCCAACTCCAGTTCATCTTCAGCGCTCATCTCTAGCATCTCGAGGGATATGTCCTTCCGGTTCGAACAGGCTTCACACCTCAGCAAGAAGCAGTTTTGGGAAGGATTTTCACAAAGAAAAATTTTCTGGACGTCTTCAAAGTCATGGTCTTCCCCGCCGCATTTGACAGAGATGTCAAACAGAGTATGAAGTTGGCGCAGCATACACACACACACTCTTCATGTACAGGGTGTCTCTTAAACCACTTGGGCCGAAGAGAATAAAATTTTGTCAGGCCCATTTTTGACTCGGGATTGGCCGCCTTGAATTCTTTGTAGGTTTCCCTAATAGATCTCGTCATAAATCGCTTCGTGACGAAGACTTCCTGACCATCAAATAAAAGCCTTACGACATCCTTCTTGTTCGGGCTTTGTCTTGAGCAGTCTTTCGCATCTGATGTGTGGTAAGTCAACGCAAGAGCGTTGACTTTTTGTTGAGAGCATGTCCTTGGTATGGGTCAGGTGACGCCCAGACCCCCATTTTTTCAGCTTTCTTGATTGGTCCAAAGCATGCTTTGTCACTTCAGGAATTGCTTTCAGGATATCTTTCTTTTTGAGGTTAGATGGAAATAGAGTTAAGAGGCGGTAGCGTTCTAGCTGCGACGCGCTCTTGACGTAGGCTGCTCGTAAATTGCTGACCCAGTCGAAGCACGAGGAGCATGGATCTTCTTTGTCTGTGCCCGTAGGTTCTCCGTACACATCACTTAGTTTACGACCAATTTTCTTTTTGAAGTCCGCGGTTATCTCGGATGTTTTTCGCTTAACATAGCCGGTACGACTTCGTGGGGTCACGCTAGAAGGGAGTTTAAGTGGTGTCACACTTACTTTGGCAGCATCAATTGCTTCAGACACTCCTTGGACCAGGGCTTCCTCGTCAACGAATGATCTGTCCGCTGGTTTCAGGGATGATGACGATGAGATTGATGACAACATTTCCTGTCCTTGCTTATGTTCTTCAATCTGACCCAAGAACATTGTGTAGCAGTTATTGCATAGATCATCTCCAGCGGCTTACGCGCTGGGTGTCCTCAGCCGGTAGAACTTGCTTAAGAAAACTTAGGTTTACCTCCGAGACTTGACGAAAATGGCGTCCGTAAAATACTCTTCTCTTGTGTCTCCTTGAATAGTCGGCGCACACTTTCCGGTCTGAATTGAATAATGTATTAGCCATGGCAGTAACGAACACTTCTGGCTTTCTGAAAGCAGGAGCAGTTTTAAGTTCATCCAGCTCAGACAGCACGGAGGTAGAATGAGTACCAGCTTTCC